CCCCGGCCCTTTCTCCTGTTTCCCCATCCATCGGGCAGCTCAGCGCCTCTCTGAGCACATGCCACGCCCCCGTGGAAGCCATGCTACAGCAGGTCCTTCGTGTCTGGGGTCTGTCCCGTGTCCACCTGAAGCCGGGGCTTTCTGTGGGCAGGACCTGTGCCTCCCCTAACCCAGTGCTGCGCGAGGCAGAGCCTAAGTCCCCGAGGCCAGGACTTCCCTGGGGAAGGGGAACCTGCCCTCGCAGTCAGCACAGATGGAGAGGGGCTCCCTAAGCGCGGGGCTGGGGCCTCCCCTGTCGCACTAGCGGCTGCCTTTCCTTCTGCAGATCAACACCAACCTGGGTGACGTGCAGTTCTTGGTCATCGACCTGGTCATCACCACCACGGTGGCCGTGCTCATGAGCCGCACGGGGCCGGCGCTGCGGCTGGGGCGGGCTCGGCCGCTGGGGGCGCTGCTCAGCGTGCCCGTGCTGAGCAGCCTGCTGCTGCAGGTGGCCATGGTGGCCGGCGTGCAGGTGGGGGGCTACTTCATGGCTGTGACCCGGCCCTGGTAAGTAGGGAGCCCGTCCCCAAATCCCACCCTGCCGTGGTCTCTGCACACTCATCCCTGACGCCTGGTCCCCGTACCCTCAGGTTTGTGCCTCTGAACAGGACAGTGCCCGCGTCAGACAACCTGCCCAACTACGAGAACACGGTGGTCTTCTCCGTGTCCAGCTTCCAGTACCTCATCCTGGCTGCAGCCATGTCCAAGGGGGCGCCCTTTCGCCAGCCGCTGTACACCAACGGTGCGGGCGGGATGGGCACAGGGGGGTGAGGGGCTATAGGGGCTGGTGCCTATGGGGGGGGGGGAGGTCCCCCTGGTTTGTGTGTGTGGGCTCCCTGGCCTGACAGACTCCCCTAACCCTAGTGCTCTTCCTGGTGGCCCTGTTGTTCTTGGGCTCCATGCTGGTGGTCCTCCTCCTGGTCCCCTGCCTGCAGAGGCCACTGGCGCTGAGAAACTTCCCCAGTGGCTGCTTCAAGCTGATGCTGCTGGGCCTGGTCGCCCTCAACTTCGTGGGGGCCTTCATGCTGGAGGTGGGGTCCCGGGGACTCGGCGGGTGGGGGGCATCCACACGGCCATCCCCCGCACTGGCCCTGTTGTCTCTCTCTCTCTGCAGAGTGTGCTGGATCAGTGCCTCCCAAGCTGCCTACGGTGGCTGCGGCCCAAACAGGCCTCCAAGAAGCGGTTCAAGCAGCTGGAGCGGGAGCTGGCGGAGCAGCCCTGGCCTCCGCCCACCTGGCCGCCGCCCACCCAGCCTGAGAGGTAGTGCGCCCCATCCAGCCCACTGGACTCTGACCCCTGCCTCTGAGCCACCGGCGGCCCCATCTGCAGACACCACGGCCCCCACTGCAGCCCCGAGGTTGGCGGTTGTCACACTCCTGCCCCACGTCTGCCCAGTCAGCCTCCCTCCCCCACCTGGAGAAATGCTAACTGTCCTCTGCAAACACCCCCGTAGAGACAGCAGCCTCCGCCCCATCCGCCGCTGTCAGTGTAGCAAATAAAGTCATTATTTTATTGTCTTGTCAGTGCTGCTTCCTTCCTGGTACCTGAGCCAGGTGCCCGGCTGGCAGCCCCTGCCACGTGTCTGCTCCCGGTGCCCCTGAGTTTCCAGACCACCGTAGACACCTCTCTGGGCCTCCATTTCTGTAGCAATATTTCTGGGTGCAGCTGTGCCTGGTGCTGGTAGGCCTATAGCATTGTCACGTCCCCTGTTACAGACACAGAAACGGGCTTAGCGGTCACACAAGTCAGAGGTGGGGCCGGATGGCTTTGACTCCAGGATCCACTCTTACCCTGCCCACCTTCCGGAGAGGCAGAAAGACAAAGGACTTGCCTCAGGCAAGTGCCCTGCCTCCGTGGCACTTAATGGGGCAGCTCCCTTCTCTCCCCACCCACTTCCTGGGGCGGTTTGTGGTCCAATTCCTCAGGTGGAAGTCCAGGCTCTGAGCCCACAGCTCCCGCCCAAACCCTGTGTCCTGTCCTCACCCCACCGGCCAGACAGTGGCCAGGCCCTACTCTGGGGGTGGACCTCGGTGGTCGGCCCTTTGGGCTGGGCAGGGGAGAACAGGAAGCAAAGGCTGATTCCTGCCCTCCAAAGGCCTGCCAGCCCCGTTACTGGAAGCCCTGGCATCATCCCCAGCAGGAGCTCAGTAAATGTTGAGTCAAACAGAAGGGATAAGGGTTGTGAAAGTTAATGGAATATCAGGCACGTCCGCAGAGCGGCAGTGGGCTCTGAGTCAGCCGGCAACTGTTCAGTGGCGTTTGCTGTTCCAGGGGAGGTCAGAGGACACACGGAGAGGCCTGGGTGTGAATGCCCCTCCGCACTCAGCCAGCTCATGCATTTGGCTCAGCGGTTGAGCATTAACCTGAGGACAGGAGGTCACGGTTTGATTCCCGGTCAGGGCACATGATCCCCAGTGGCGGGCGTGCAGGGTGTTTCTACCCCTCTCCCTCTCCCTCTCCCTCTCTAAAATCAATAAAAGTATTTTTTTAAAAAGAAAAAGGGACCGGTTTAGCTCAATGGATAGAGCATCGGTCTGCGGACTGAAAGGTCCCAGGTTTGATTCCTGTCAAGGGCATGTATTATACCTTGGTTGTGGGCACATCCCCAGTAGGGGGTGTGCAAGAGGCAGCTGATGGATGTTTCTCTCTCATCGATGTTTCTCTCTCTCTATCCCTCTCTCTTCCTCTCTGTAAAAAATCAATAAAATATATATTTTTTTTTTTAAAAAAAAGGGGGGAGCAAATCTCCCAGAGCACCCCCCCCCACTACTCCCTCCTGAAAAGCCACCCCCTCTACTTAAGGCCCTTTGGGCCAAGGGAGTGGGTAGAAGCAGCAGAGAGGATCTGGGAGCCAGCAGCCAGGGGTAGGCAGCTTTGGGGCCTCGATTCCCCCTTTTTGACAAGAGTAGGGGGTGGGGTTTCTACCAGGCCATTTCCTCTTCCACTTACGTGGGATTGTGCCTATTGGGGGTGAAGGCAAAGGGAAGGCACAGAGGGCTGGGGTGACCCCCGGGGACCCTAGCACTCGGGGTGACAAAGGTGACAGACACTGAAGGTGGCAGGTATTCATTCTACAAACGAGCACCGAGGAACAAGCGATGCGTGGGACCTAACAGCAGTCCCCCATCCCCGGGGATATGTTCCCAGACCCCTAGTGGAGGCCTGAAGCCACGGATGATAGCGAACCCTATACACACGGTCTTCCCATGCATACCTATGATAAAGTCTACAAATTAGGCCCAGTGCGAGATTAAGAACATAACTAGTAAACTAGGTCCGTTGTAGCAATATGCTATAAGAAAAGCTGAGTGAAGGTAGATTAGTAAATAAAATAAAGGTGACAAGCACAAGCACTGTGCTACTGTGTCTGGGTCTGACCTGAGAGAGCTGCTAAGTGACGACCAGGCGGACAGCACGGACCCCATGGACAAAGGAGGGTTCATGTCCAGCTGGACGGAGTGAGAGAATTTGGGATTTCATGCTACTCAGAATGGTGTGCAATGTAAAGCTTATGATTGTTTCTTTCTGGGATTTTCCATTTAATATTTCCAGACCGTGCTGTTCCATGGCTAACTGAAACTGCGGAAAGCAAAAGCACAGATAAGGGGGACTACTGGACTTAGTCCTGTCTAATGAGATTCAGAATTTTAAGGAAGCATGGAGTGAGGGTCTGAATCAAAGGGTACCCCAATCTCCTCCTCTGGGCTGCAGCCCCCTGCCTCAGGCCTACGCTCCCACCACCAGGCAGGACCGAGGACTGCCCCAGAGGCAGAGGACCTGCACCCCCCCCCCAGCCAGTCTCTCCCAGGAGAGTCAGGTGACATTCATTCCTTCATTCATTCATTCATTCCACAGAGGGTCCCTGAAGAGCTGCTGAGCCTGGCTCTGTGCCTAGTGAGCAAACGCCCAGGCTGAGCACAAACGAGTCCCTGTCTTCATGTGGTGGACAGGCTCCTCGAATGGTCCCCCAGACACGGGGCAACGGGACAGCTGTGAGCAGTAAAGCACAAGGTTCTGGAGCACAACAGGGAGAAAGGGCAGGCTCCTCTGAGGAAGGGAGGGTCCCATCTATCACCAGGAGGAGAGGACCTCACAGTGCCCAGGAAGAAGAAGAGCTTGAGAAAAGGCCCTGTGGCCACAGAGAAAGAAGATGAGTGAGAGACGCCCAAAAGGTCATGTGGCTGGAGGGGGGCCAAGCAGGGAAGGAGGAGGCAGAGCCAGACCAGGATAAAGGGTAGGGCCCTTGCGGAAGCTTAGCCTTGATCCTGGGTACCATGGAAATGGAGGGATGGCCAGGAATAGAAGGGGCCAGGGTCTGGGGCGGGCAGGGGAAGGCTGGGCCCACTTGGAGGTTGGTACAGGGGCCGGGCAAGAGGTGGTGGTGGCTTGCACCGCCATGGGGGCAGTGGATAGGCTCAAAGAGTGTTTTGGAGGCAGAGTTAGTGTCTGCAGCTGTGTCGGATGTGGGGGCTGACATCAATAGAAATAAGAGTAATGGAAGGATGGTGCGGCCACTCGAGGAAGAAGGCCTTCCAGGGCCAGGTCTGGGGGAGGGCCAGGGGGTCCTGAATGTGGACCTGGGCCCTTGTTGAATCTGATATGCCTTAGGGGACATTGGCGGAGGGCTGAAAGAAATGCTGGTTATGGAAGCCACTCGGCCCAGAGAGGATTAAGACAACCCAGGGGGCACAGCCAGAGAGGCGGGAGCAAAAGCAGGTCAGGGAGGGCGTCCTCCAAGCTGGGAGAAGCCAAGCTTTCTTGGGGCTCAGTGGCTTTAGGAGCCTCGGTTTCCTCCTCTGTGAAATGGGGTGCCGCGGGCCAGACGCGATGGGAGAGAAGGAGAAAGCGTCCCGCACCATTAGGTGTGAAGACACCGGCGCACCGCTCTGCGGGCGCCTCCCCCGCCCCAGGGCCGCCCCCCGAAGCCGGCGGAGGACCCGAGGGCGGGCGACCTGGGCAGCGGCTCTCGCGTTAGGACCCAGCGGATCCGGGGCTGAGGGCGGGCGCCGGCCGTCGGGGGCCCGGAGCGGGGCTCGCAGCGGGCAGAGGGGCGGCGCTGGCGGCGGACGCGGAGCGGCGGCGCAGTGGCCGGGCCAGGTAGGCGCGGGCCGGGCGGCGGGGCTCGGCGGGGAGCGCTCGGGTGCCGCGGGCCGCGGGGGGCGGTGCCGGCTCCGCGTGTCCCCGATCCGGGGCAGCCCCGGCGCCCCGGCGCCCCGGCCATCCATCCGAGCAGATGCGGAGAGGCCGCTTGGAAAGTTTGGGATCGCTTTGGGGGAGGACGCGAGCTGGGAAGGGAGAGGAGCCCGGGTCTGGGGGAGCCAGGAGTGGGGGCGTCGGGGCCGGGGCTGCTTTTGTTCCCCCGGGAGGGTGGAATGCGGCGGCGGGGGGCGGGGGGGCGCAGGGGCCCGGGGAGCGGGGAGACAAAGGGGACGAGAGGCCGGCGGAGCGGGCGCCGCTGATTGCTCCCAGCTGCGCGGCCGCAACATCTGGTTTCCTCCCGCCGGACCCCCGCCCGGCCCCGGGCACAGCCTCCCGGGGAGCTGGGCGAGGCCCTGGTAGGCCGGCTCACCCCCTCCTCCAGGGAGGGAGGGGAGGGGTGCGCGGCTGTGGAATGGGGTGGGCAGCCTCTAGCAGTCCTGGTCTCCCCCACGCCCCAAAGCCCGTCGTCTGGAGATGTCCCGTGGGAGGATGCATTACTCGCCGGACTCCCCCCTCTGCAGCCACACCCCTTGCCCGGGGGCCCCTTTCCCCAAGAAGCCTGGGCCTGGGTGCCAGGCCTTCTGGGGGGAAGGGGGGAGGGAAGGCCCTCTGCAGGGGGTGGAGAGCCCAAGGAGGGGCTTTGGGACAGACAGAGGCCGCCCCCCACACACACACCTCTTAGGCCCCCACTCAGGGCCCCTTCCCGGTGGTGACAGCCCGGGGGGAGGATGGGATAGTGCAGGAGAGATGAAAGGAAGGAAGGGGTACATGTTGTTCAGCACCCCCTTACCAGGAGGAGGCCAGGGCTTTCAGAACGGGGGTGTGGGGAGCCAGATCCCTGCCCCTGCTGCAACTTGAGCCATGAGTCTCATCTCTTTTCCTCTAACTCCCCTCCCCCTCCCCATCAGTTTCCTCACCCACCTCTTCCCGCTGAAGTGAGGGTTCAGGAAGGGAGAGATGGTGAACGCATGAGATGGACAGGGAGTCCCAGAAGCCTCAGGATTGGGAAGGGGGGGGCACCATGCCTGTTTCTGCCCCCTTTCTTCCCCTCTCCCTGGGAACAGCCCCGGGGGCAAAGGTGGAGAGTTAGGTTTCTGGATTGCTGTCTGGACGGAACTCCCTTTGTTGTGGTGGGAGGAGGGGGGCACTCCTGAATAAATGAGCCGAGGGCGCCCTCCCAGCTGAAGCTGACAGCCTGAGGCTGCCCTCCACTGAGCGGACTGGCCGCGGGGACCTATAGCCTCAGCCAAGTCCAAGTCCACGCTGGGGCCAAGGACTGAGGCTGCACTCAACCAGGAATTCTTAACTTCAAGGGCCTGGGGGAAGCCATGACTTGCTGCTCTGTCCCTACAAAATACACACACACACACACACACACACAGCACTTGTCAGACAGTGTCAGGGTCCAGCACCCCTAGCCTGGGTGACATTATGGTCCCCTTCAGCGCTGCCTTCTAGGAGCCAGAGAAGCCTCCGCAGGCTCCACCCTAAGTGCTTCCTGCTGCTGCAGACAACAGACCGCAGTCTCATGAGTCTGAGGCACAGCCAGGTCTTGGGGAGGCCTGGCAGGAGAGGAATCTTTAGGGGTGGGAGCCCTGCCCAGGCCTGACTGCCTAGGGCCCCTGGGGCCCATGCACGCATGTGGTGAGCTGCGACGTAGGCCAGGCAGGGCTGGATCCCCAGCAGGGGGCCCGGGGCCAGGATACACACGATAGGTGCCTTAGACACCTGGGGAGGTGCTGAGCCAGCGCGTGGGCATGGGAAGGGCAAGGAGCACAGGATCAGGGCTGGGGGGCTGGGGGGAGGGTAGGGATGTCCCCTTGCTGGGCTGGGCAGGGGAGGTTCTGTCCATTGGCCAAGATCAGCCCTGGAGCCGAGTTGGAGGTCTTGTCCCTCAGGACTCGAACATTCGAAATCTCTCCAAACTGCTTCCTCCTCTAGGCTTGGCCCTCCGCATGCCTGGCTGCTTCTAATCGGGGGCTGCCTTCTCCAGGCTTCGTGGGGGGGAGGCAGAAGGAGGGGGAGGCGCAGAGTGGAGGTGGGTTCCGCAGCCCCTGGTTGGTGCCTGGGATACAGTTTGCTCTCCTCTCCCAGCTGTCCTCTGACACCAGCCCCGCCACCTCACCTCACGGAGTAGCCATGAGAGCTGCCTACCTCCTCCTGCTGTTCCTGCCTGGTGAGTGGCTCCTGGAGACGCCCCCCCTTCTGTGGGTGAGCGTGAGGCTTGCAGGGGAGCAGGGTGGCAGTGAGCCTCCGCTGTGCCCTGTCGCCAGAACTCCCGGGTCCCAGGGCCTCCTGCCTCCTGGACCTCAGACGGGACTGGCCAGCCCCTCACAAAGTTTGAGGCATTTCCTGGGCCCTTACCCCCACCGTCCAGGTGGCAGGCAAGGGGGATTCTGGAAAGTGGGCACACACCCTGGCACCCCGAGTCCATGCCTTTCCTCTTATGTGCTGACCCTCCCAGAAGCTGATGTGTAGGAGTTGGGGGTACTCAAGGCAGGGACTCTAGACCCATTTGGGGCTTAACCCCCTATACAATCTTGACCTTAAAGGGGTCCCTATTGGTCAAATGAAAGGTGATCAATGGGAATGAAAAGGCCTGCCTGATATGTACACAGGTAATAATTTAATAAAAATAAATAAATTTTTTAAAAAAAGAGAGAATTAAGCAAATTGAACATCTTTGGAAAGCCTAACAGTTCACTGTAATGTACGTAGCATTAAACTCTGTAACATAGTTGAGGGACAATGTTCCCTAGCTTATTCTTTTCATAACAGTGTGTAGGAAGTTGTATGTATTTATGGGCAATGCTTATACTTGGACAAGTAGGCCTAATATAGGAAACTCCATGATGACATGAATAATTCTGAGAAAATGACAGTAAATAGATGAGAACTGGTTTAGAACAGGGGAAAAGGATTCTCCAAGTCAGTTGTTAGTATAAAAAAGTATCTAAGATCCAGGATATCCTTAATTCGAGTTAAGAGTACATTGAACAGTGTATGAAACCTGTTTTATTTACCTAAAGAAGCCTAGAACTTTACATGTGTGTCACACGAGGCTTGAAAGAGAGAAATAGGCAAATTCAGCAGCTTTGGAAAGCCTTACAATTCATTGTAATGTAGCATTAAACTCTATAACATAGTTGAATAAAAAAAATAAAAAAAAGAAAGAAAAGGCCTGCCTGGTTGATCATGTATCATTTATCAGGTATTTGTTGAGCTCCTACTATGTGCCAGGCCCTGGGCTAGGCCCTGGGGATGCGGCGATGAACCAGGCAGACAAGTGCCTGCCCCCAGGGTGCTGCCAGTCTAGGGAAGGGAGGGCTATATTATCAAGCAGATAAGTGTCAGATTGCACTGAGCGCTGTGATAGAAATAAGCAGGAGATGAGATAGAGGATGGGTGGGCCAGCAAGAGCCTCTTAGCAGAGCTGAAATTTTATTTAAGACCTAAAGGAGAAGGTGACCAGGATCTCAGGCCTGGGAGAGTCAGGGGCAAAGGCCCTGGGGCAGGCAGGAGAGTGCTGAGTGCCGGGAGCAGCCATGAGGCCGGCATGGGGGAGATGAGCAGGATGAGGCCAATGAGGTGACACAGGACCAGGAAGTGTAAGGGTCGTCATGGTTGAGGAAAGAGTTTGGATCCTGAAGATCTGAGAGTCTGGTTGTAGGATGTGAGGGTCTCTTTTACATGCCCGTCTGACCTCCCCAGAAGTGTCTCAGGGCCCCTTGCTGTCCCCATGGGGCACCCCCTCATGCTTTCCCTCCCCACGGCAGGCCTGCTGGCTCAGGGGCAATATGACCTGGACCCTCTGCCGCCATTCCCAGACCACGTCCAGTACACCCATTACGGTGACCAGATTGGTAAGCCTTGCCCTCCCCGCAGGGGCCCCCAGCCCTGCCATGTCATCAAGCTCAGCCAGGGACCTGGTGGGGTTACGGGATGGGAACCTGGCTTGGGGGAGGAGGGGGTGGTCGCTGGCTCAGTGGTGACCTCCTTTGCCCCTGGGCTGGGAGATAGCCTGATGCCCACTAATTCCCATTCGTTTCCGCTTTCAGACAACCCAGACTACTATGATTACCAAGGTAAAGGGACGGGGCTGGGCAGGACGGTGGGCATTGGGGGGCAGTAAGCAGGCCCCCTCACCGTGTCCCGTTGCAGAGGCCACTTCTCGGCCCTCTGAGGAGCAGTTCCAGTTCCAGTCTCAGCAGCAGGTCCAGCAGGAAGTCATCCCGGCCCCCACCTACGGTAGGTTGCACCCCTGGGAGTGGGATCTGTGGGGGGCAGGGGGGGGAGCGGTGACCTCACTCGGCTGGAACAGACCTCTCTCAGCGATCTCTGCCCCTCTCCCAACACCAGAGCCCGGAAATGGGGAGACGGAGCCCACAGAGCCAGGGCCTCTGGGTAAGAGCTCTCTCGTTCCCTGGACTCGGGGTGAGGTGGGGTGGGACGCTGGTAGGACAGAGACTGCCAGGCCTTGTGCTGTTGCCCGGGTAGGTGGGGGGTAGGAGGCCTGATTTAGGCGGCCCCCTAGGCAGCTCTGGGACATCCCCCGGCTCCCGGGGCCTGGCCTGAGGCTGGATTGGCAGCAGCCCCGGAGGGGACCTGTGCTCCCAGGCTCGGGGAGGGGCAGGGAGCTCTGGCAGGCGGTGACGAGGAGCAGGAAGCCAAGGCTGGCTCAGCAGGCCCCGTGCTGCCCAGCCAAGGGCCCAGAGAGCAGACTGAGGGGTCACGTCTGGCCCCATGAGCTCAGGGTGGTTCCTGAGAGGTGGGTGTGGACTTGAGTTTGAATTTATGTGTGATTATGTGCTTCTTAAGTGTAGGTGTGAATTTGTATGTGTATGAATACACTGTGCAAAACTGGGCGGCCTCAGGTCCAACAACACTGTGTGTGTGTGTGTGTGTGTGTGTGTGTGTGTGGGCCAGAGGGAGCAGGGCATACCTAGACTCTGAGATGAGAGCCAGTCTCTGGTGGACAAAATTGGGGGTTCCCCCCAGTGCTGGGCCCTCAGTTGCAGCCCCCCAAACTGATCCCACCTGTCACCCAGACTGCCGTGAGGAGCAGTACCCGTGCACCCGCCTCTACTCCATCCACAAGCCCTGCAAACAGTGTCTCAACGAGGTCTGCTTCTACAGGTGAGCTCAGGCCGGACGGGGAGGGGCGGCTCCAGCCAGCCCAGGTGAAACTTGGGGAAAGATAATAAACCTGGAGTTGATTGAGGATTGAGCCCTGACCTGGGGCTGGGACTCTGGGGTCCTATACCAGGCCCTGCCCAGACTCTCCCAAGGGGGCTGGGCCTGAGTGGGCTGACACTTCCCTGGCCTCCTCCCCCAGCCTCCGCCGGATGTACGTCATCAATAGGGAGATCTGTGTCCGCACCGTCTGCGCCCACGAGGAGCTGCTCCGAGGTAGGCAGCCTCCGCGCCCCCCCAACCCCCTGCCTCTCCCCGCTCCCAGGCCTCTCCCCGCTCCGCTCCCTTGTTATCCACCCACCTGTCCACCACCTGTTTATTAAACATGTGCTCTGTGCTGGGGAGAGGGGCGGGGGGAGGAGGAGGAGGCAGGAGAGGAGGCACTTCCAGGGGATCCTGAAATCAGATTGGGGAGCAGTTCCCATCACCCAGTCCCAGCCTGACCCCAGTTCCTTTCTGCCCCAAACAGCTGACCTGTGTCGGGACAAGTTCTCCAAATGCGGGGTGATGGCCAGCAGTGGCCTGTGCCAATCCGTGGCGGCCTCTTGTGCGAGGAGCTGCGGGGGCTGCTAAGGTGCAGCTGGCACCCGAGCCCTAGCCCCTCCTCAGATCCGGGGCCCTTGGGCCCCGCCTAACCTGGTGCTTTCCTTCCCGCCCGACATTCCGTTTATTCTGTAAAAAGTTAGTGGACTGCGGCCCAGGGGGTTGTCTCAGGCCCCCCACCCCCAGGCTGTGACCACCCCAGAGGCACAGTGGGGCTCCCCACTGCCCAGTCTTTAGCCCCAGGTGGGGGGCATCCCAGGCCTCAGTGGGACTGGGCCTCTCAAGTGCCTTTTCAGCCTCTGAGGTAGGCTATGCCCCTCCCCCCAGCTGGTCTGTCTGGATCTCCTACAGCCCTGGGCATAGACCGCCTGTTTTATACGAAATTAAATACAAGTTTTTACAAAAGACTCAGTCATTTTTCAGAGAACACAAGGTGGGTGCTGTCCAGGTGCCTCCCTGGTCTTGTTATAAAAAGCGCTCAGAGGTCCTAGTCGGTTTGGCTCAATGAGTAGAGCGTCCGCCTGCAGACTGAAGGGTCCCGAGTTCGATTCCGGTCAAGGGCATATGCCAGGGTTTCGGGCTCAATCTCACCACTGACGTCTCTCTCTCTCTCTCTCTCTCCCTCTCCTTTCCTCTCTGAAATCAATAAAAGTATATTTTTTAAAAAAAACAACGCTAAGAGGCTACCTGGCCTCTTGAGAAGGTACTGTCCAGGCGGCCTCAGCTTTGCCTCTGCTGTCCCAGTCCTGCCTCCCACCCACCGACGTCAGCGCTGACCTCCCAGGGGGACAGCGTAGAGAGAAGGGTCAGGACACAGCTGTCTTGTTGTCAGGGCCCGAGTCCGCATCATCAGAGGGTGCAGGCCCAGGCCGGAGGCGCCAGGACGGAAGCATCAGGGTGTGAGTAGGGTGTAAGGCAGGAGGTCAAGGTGGGTGGGCGCTGAGATCAAGGGCTGTGGGAGGAGCGGTTCAGGGCAGAAACAGGGCAAGCCAGCACGCCTCCCTCCGACAGCCTGTGGGGCGGGTTCCCATTCCCAGGTGAGCGAGCCGAGCTCTGACAGGTGAAGCGCCTTTTCCTGAGCTCACTCAGCTGAGCCCCAGGACCCCACGTCCACCCCTGGCCTGCATCTGTTCACCACGCGGCCTGCAAAGCCCATCAGTATCCAGAGGGTGGGCCCGCCCGGGAGGGGCCGAGGAAGCTGGGCCTGGAGTCAGGCCGCACAGGTTGGCCATGCTCCGAGCCTCATCCCTGTTAAATGGGGCGGCGACACTGGGCCCAGGAGGCCTCCCCCCCCCCCCCCCCACCTGCTGAGGGTGGTGAGCACCACAGGCCTTTCTGAAGCTTCTCCCTCCCACAGCCCCTCCCTGGGGCGCCCATCCCTCTTGCCCAAGGCCCTGCCTGTGTCCCCTCCCATCTACCAGGTGGTCGAGGCACACTGATCGTAAAAAAACACTCGGTACAAAACCATCTTAGAAAATAGGGTCTTGTAAAAAACAAACAGTTCTGAACAGTTAACATTATAAAAGGTACAAAAATACGGGGGCTCTGAACGCTAAGGAATTTCCTGACAAACACTCTGAACTGAGGCAGAGAGACCCCTGGGAAGCCAGGGCAGGGCCTGGGTCTCTGACCCCTGCCCAGGCCCGGGCACCCCTCCGCCTTCCCGTGAGCCCACGCTCCAGGGGCCTGCTTCAGGGCCGGCCACTCAGCGGGGGCCTGGTAGAGTCTGGAGCGGCTCACCGGGGAGGGGCTGGAGGGGGCCCACAGCACATGGCTCTGAGGATGCTGAGAAGCCACTGCTGGGTGGGGCCTGCACTGGCGCCCCCACCTCCCAGAACTGCCAGCCAGCTCACGCTCACCCCATCTGAGCTCTGTGGCCCCGACAGGCAGGCCCTCTCGTCCCAGGTCCGGCCGGGAAAGGCCTCATTTCTCTGGGGGCCCAGAGGCGGCGGAGAGGGACGCTGAGCTCCTCCGAAGCTCCTGCTGCAAATGGCCCTTCAGTGTGGACACCTGGAGGAGAGAGAAGGCAGCGCCTGACCGCCAGCCCAGAGCCTCAGCCTGATGGCGGAGAAAGGGGGTGACTGCAGCTGGGACTCCGGGAAAAGCTCTCATTTGGAACCAGGGTGTTTCCTTCCCTTCTCATTCGCTCCCCGATATAGTCAGGCATCCTCGGACCGTTCAGCACCCAAGACCCAGGCCTGGCTTAGCGAACCAGCCTGGCCCTGCAGACACGTGCCCAGGTGGCATGGTCAGTAAGGGGCTGGGGCTGGGATGGAAGCTGGTCAGTGAGAAGCAGCCCTGGGACTTGGCTGTTGCTCCAGTCCCCGCGCCCTGCCCCCCTCTACCTCCCCCCCCCCCCCCATAAGGGTGGTTGGAGTAACCTGAGTGGGAGCTCCCCAGGCCACCTGCGCCAGGGAGAGGGCCTGCCTGGAGCCAGAGCCATGGCAGGGGACTGAGTTCCAACGACAGCACTTAAGCTTGTGTGCAGCCACGGCCAACACCCACCGGACCGCTTCTGTTTGGGATGCCATAGGTGGCATACACCCAAGAGGTCACACCAGCCCTCCCCCCTCTCCCCTCCGCCTTCTCCAGCATCACACGCCATGCTGGTCCAGCGGCCCCAGCAGGGAGTCCTGCTGGCTCTGCAGCCCCCAGGGAGGGCCGGGCCCAGTCAGGCCCGAGTACCTGCTCCTCCAGCCCATGCACCCGCTGCTGGCGGGCCCGCTCCCGCGTCTCCAGGGTGCGCTCCGTCTGCACCTGGGCACTGCGCAGGCGCTCGACCTCCTGCTGCAGCTCCAGCTGCTGCTGCTCCTCTGCCTCCAGTGCCTCCAGCCCGACTGGACTCTGGTCCTGCTCCAGCACCACCACCTGGGCCTGCAGGAGAGGCCACCAGTCAGGAGTCTGACTGTGTGTGTGTGTGTGTGTGTGTTAGGGTACCTAGTGACTCCCACTCAGATACATACACATACACACACAGACATTCAAACACAGGCCCATATATATACAGGCACAAAAGAAAGCATGTTCACCTGGGCGCATACATATGTGCAAAAGCCTAATACTCCTACTCACATGACATCTGTACAGACACACACAGACATAACATATTGTTAATACTCAGACTCGCCACATCTGTGCAAGATGGAAGCACCAGAATATACCCATGAACACTCATGCCTCTACATGTCCACAACACACATCAACACACAGACTCAGGTGCTAACCGGCCGTCAGCGTCTCTTTTCTCTCCGCTTTGGGGGGGACCCCTCCCTCTGGGACCTCACTCTGAACCCTAGGGTCCGGGCTCAGGTGTGGGCTCTGAACTGGCTGAGCTATCAGCAACTCCTGCCTCAGGCTGGGGTGGGGCGGGGTCATGGGTTAGGGAGATGGGGTTCGAGGACTGGGTGGGCAGGGGCGGGACCTCCAGCAGCTGGATTTGCCTCTGGGCCTCGGCCAGCTCCAGCTCGGCCCCCGTGAGTGTGCGGTCCAGGCGGCCCTTCTCGGCACTGAGCCGCACTGTGTCCTCGAGGCTGCGGAGCTTCTCCCGCTCCACCTGGGTGGGGAGAGCAGGAGGGGAGCGGGTGCCGGAAGGAGGGAGGCCGGGAAGTGGGGGGCTCCGGGGGAGTGTGGTTAGAGGCAGAAGGACCAGGGACCCTAGTGACATGCAGCTGGACCAACCATGGCTATGCCCTAAAGGAAGGGAGGGAGGGTCCCGGGGAGCAGCCCACCTTGTCCAGGGTCTTCCTGAGGGCCACCCGGTCCTTTTCCAGCCGCAGGGCTGACCGCTCCGCCTCCCGCTTCTCGGCCTCCAGCTGGGCCAGAGCGCGCTGCAGGCCGCCCAGGCGCTCCTGCAGCCGCCGCCGCTCCTCCTGCAGCTTCTGGACCGTGTGCAGGGCCGCAGCCTCCGCCTCCTGCCGCTGCCGCAGCACCTGCAGCGGGAGCAGGCCCCTCACCGCTCTGGCCTCGGTGTGTGCGTCTGCAGCTCAGGGAAGGCAATGCCAGCCTGCCGTGCCCACTAACTGGGCAGGGCAGCTGGGAGGCCCAGCCCGCACCAGGAAGCTGTCTCCTTAGGCCAGACAGCTCTCCTCTCTGGGCCTCAGTTTCTCCATCTCTATCATGGGGGCACCATGCTTCTTCCCCGGGCGTGCGGGTTGTGGGGGTTTCTCCTCCCAGCAGACTGGGCCTGGGTTTGGGGTGAGGGTTAGATAGGTGGGGAAGGTCCCCACCCCTGAGGGCCTCAGCATCCTGGCGACAGAAGGGGTGCCCCTGGCCCTTACCTCCCGCAGCTGCTGCAGCTGGCCCTCAGCCTCCGCCCTCTGCAGCTCCAGGTCCGCCATCTCGCCCCGCATCGTCTGCACCTGCTCGGCCAGGGCGCTGCTCTGCTTCCGGGCCTCGGACAGCGCCTGCCGAGCCGCCTCCAGCCGTTCCTGGGGGACAGGGGCTGGTGATGCCAGGCTGGACACACCCTCTACTCTGTATCTCAGGCCAGTTTCACAGCTCATAAGAGGTGTCATCTCACCGGGAGGGTGAGCCGGACAGCAGGACTGGCCCACAGCCTATACTGAGCTATAAAGACCAGGCCCGCACAGAACCCCTCTCTCTCTCCCCCACTAACCCTGCACCGAGGTCCCTCAGAGCCAGTACTAGTAGGCTATTCTCTTATTGCCCCCCCCCCCCCAGCAGAGCCTTCTCTTACTGACCAATGCTCTTATTAAGCCCATCCCTCCCTCTCATTGATTGGCTCCTTAAGGTTCCCAACTGACTGCCTCATTGGCTGGCCTTCTACCCTCCAAGCCTGTCTACTGGCTAACTAACTCTCTTGCCAGCCCATCCAGCCAGACGCTGGCATCCTGTACCTGGAGCACTTGGCGGTCATGGTCGCAGGCCGTCAGGGTCTTCTGCAGCTGCAGGTTCTTGTCCTGGGCGCCGGCGAGGCTGGCGCTGTTCTGGGCCAGGACCTCGGTCAGGCCCTTCACCTTGTCACGGAGGGCGCCCTCGCTCTCCTCCGCCTTGGCCAGGGCCCCGGTCAGCCGCTCCACCGTCAGCTGCAGAGTCCCTGCCTTCACCTCTCCGTCTGCCACCTGGCGGGAGCGACAGGGCGGCGAAACGGCTGTTCTCACTGCGGCCTCCACAAGAAAAGTCCGACCCCAGCCAAACCCTGCCCCTCTGTCTCCAGGCCTTTGTCACTGATGCTCACGTTCCCATGCTCGCCTCCTGGCTCAGCCTACGCCCAAGGCCCGGCCCACGGCTGGTCAACCACCCCCACCCGCAGCACCATCGGCCTGACTGTCTCGGACCCCGTGGTCTCCTCCCTGCCACCGAGGAGGCAGAGCATCTACCACAACCCTGGGATTTCTTGACTTTGGTGGGTGATTGTGCAGGGCTAGCAGAATTACTGAACAGTCCGGTTAGAGATGAGC